AGCTTGTTGTCCTTCTCTTGCTCATCACCAGCTCCAATGAGCTCAAGAGTATCCCAGATCTCCTTGGCAGTCTTGCACTTCTTTATTCTGTTGAAGTATCTATCATCTATGGACTTGTAGAGAATGTCTTTTGCAATGTTGTCCAGATTATACTTCCTTCTTTCTTCAGTAGTCCACTCAGATTTGGCTTTATTGATCATCCGAGGTCTGGTGTTGTCTATAGCATGCTCAGGGTTGACCTTCTGGAAGCTTGTGAATGACCCAATGTCCAGTACTTCCCACATCTCATCATGAAGAGCACAGAGATGTGCCTTCATCCAGATCCTCCAGTCATCAAACTTAAGATCTGAGAACATAAGATTCTTGGAAAGAGAGTGATCCATAATATGAGATTTAAAACAGAGGCAAAGAGAAAACAAGTGGATCTTTGTTCAGAAAATAACGTAAGAGATTATTAGAACAAGGAGGCTCTGATACCAATTGTTGGTCCCGTTTATACTGGATACAGTCTAGAGGGGGGATGAATAGATTGTATTGGTTTTTAACTTTTTCAAGCTAAGTACCAAATTTAACAGAATAGCTTGTTCTGTTGACAGAACAGACTGGCAGCGGATGGGGTTCTAGTAGGGATTCTGTCAGATTAGCCTCATAGAAGCAAAGGCAGTAGACCTTCTGTTAACTCACAAGACACATTCTGTTGAACACAGAGACCAAGTCTTTGGAGTTAACCAATTCTAACTAAGTGCGATAAATAAATGCAGTAAGTAAATGACACAAGGGATTTTTATAGTGGTTCAAGGAACAACTCGTTCCTCTAATCCACTGTTCCACTAAGCTTGTAAAAACGTCCGTTTACAACGCCTTAGTCTTAGCACTTAAGAAGCTCTCCACGTCTTCTTCAAGTCTAGATGTCTCCTGGGATGCACTTCCTGGCTTCCTTTAAGACTGGTCCTTTCACTGAGCTTCCCGGAAGTATCACCACTGCACTGCTCCAGTTACTTGGACGTCCTTCTCGTTAGTGAAGAGTTTCTAGATGAAACAGGGGTTCCTCCAACTTGCTTCGTCACAAAAGATGTATTTGTTGAAGTGCTTGAAGTGTTGAAGAACAAATGGAACTTTGCTTGAGTTGGAAATGAAAAGATGTGAGTAGATAATCTTTCCAACGTCTGATTTCTCTTGTAGAAAATGATGAAGATTTAATCTCAAGGAGGTTGTGCGTTTGAATGTTTGAATGTTTTTGTATTCACAATGTTGTAGCAAAGTTATACGGTTGTTCTTCGTAGTGTATCTTTTATACTGAGGTTGTCTTCCCGTTGGAGGAGGAGGACAACTGCATTAAATGTGCGAGTAGTTGACTTGACCATTGGAACCCAGCAAAGTTGGTGGGTTACTATTTTGGGATAAAGCTATCCTGACATTGCGGCCAATCATCTGCATTTACTCTACAGGGTACGGGATGCATTAAATGTGCATTTAATGCGCGTACTGTAGCTTTTCCGTTCAAGACTCCTAGTCGTTGAAGAAATCATCAGTTGGTTTCACCGGCTTGGGAAAATTCTCTAAGTGTCAGGCCTTCTGGTGTCTTCAGCAGAGAGTCGATCAGAGAAGGTCTTGAGCACTTCTGTTGGAGAAAGCTATCAGAGAGTCTTGAGGGTTTCTGTCGAAGATATGTTCAACACAGAACTAGGAGGGTTTCTGTCCGTGTAAGAGCTAACAGAGACCCAGAGGTCTTCTGTCTGAAGCAGAGGGGCAAAGGTCTTCTGTGAGGAGGTCTTCCGTTAGTCGACTATTCTAAGAAACTTTACAAAGGAAAAGTTCTAATACAAAGTACTAAAGAGGGGGTACTCTAAATTCCTAATTAATATAGTATCATCAAAATCTAATTACAATTATTCCTTACATTTTTAATACTTTTGTTGTCTTTGCACATGAAGACTACATACTTATCTCCTTCCCTTCCACTCTCACTAGAATCATCAATATCGGTCTCTTCACCTTCATCACTTTCTTGATCACTTGAATCATCATCTCTCTCTTTTTCTACTGTAGTCTTGTTTCTTTTTCTTCTAGAAGGCCCTTCTTGAGATTTGCTTGCTTTACTGGTGCCCCTCCCAGCTTTTGTTGTTTTTCTTTTGGCTACTCTGATCTGCATCACCTTTTGTTTCCCTTTTGCTACAATAGTATTTGGCTTTTGAGCATCAATCCTGCCAACATTGTTGATCACAAGGTGCATCACCTCCTCATTTATGTCATTTCCCTCTTCTATCATTGCAATTTCATCTACAGTTGGTACTACCTGTGTCCATTCAAACTAAAACAAAAAACCATGTTAGTAAACAATGTGTGCACATAAACATTTAAAAATTTACATATTAATCAATAACATACCTTGTCATTCTTGAATATAATTTCAGAAAGGACCTCCGGTGTAGGTTTTTTAAACTCCCACTTTAGAGTCCTTGGTATGATGTGTCCTGTCCCCTTGATGACTTTTCACAAGCCAGCCTTTGCTAAACCAGGAAAAGTTTCAAATGCCCACCACTGGAATGTCACTATGAAGCCAGGGAATGTCACTCTGTCTGTTTTTACTTTATCTAGTGCCTCACAACTCTGTTTCACCTTGTTAACTAAGTCCACCCAAACGTCATCACCCCATGGACAAGCATTGAATGCATCCAAGTCATTAACTAAATTTATGTAGTATGCCTTCATGGGTCTAGCAGATTGATTCCCAAATAAGCAATGTGAAAGTATGTATAGTAGTGCCAGTTTGACTCCATCATTTGTCAGTCTGCTATCATCGGTGCTCTTGTAATTCTTCAATGCATTCTGAATATATGCACGAGTCACAGTTGTCTTGGCTCCTAAATAATTTGTCCATATATCTCCCTCAAGCTCTTCGGAAATATTTGGCTTCACAGCTCCAAACTTTAAAGCACATATTACTGCAAGATCATGCTTCTGAAAGCTGATGACACTATCTTTAATGTGAAACTTGATGACACTGCCATCTGTCTTTCCATTAACTTCAGTAACAAAGTTTCCAATCAATCCCAAAATCAATTGTCCACTCAGCCAAGGAATGTCTTCTGGGTGAAATGTAAGTATATTAAAAAACCACCCAAGGAAAAAGGGTTGAAAGAATGTACAAGTGTCAAAAAAGAAACAACCTAAGCTAGTAAACTAACCTATGTAGCATCTATCGTTCACACCCCCCCCCCCACCCCTACCTAGCGGCAAGGGTAGGGGGAGAAAATTCTGCAAAAATAAGTCCAAAAACTAGCTCGGGCCAGACCCCCGGCTTAGTAATAATAAAAATCAGCAAAAAAGAAGCCCAAACAACAGACCACTCCTGTTCCACAAAGCTAAGACGAAAAGGCCCAGCAGCAAGAACCCAGCGGATTGCAAGCCCAAAACGAAGCTCACATGTCCGCATCCCAGCAGCCGGGCTAGGGTTTGTAGAAAACCTTCGGCCCAACAAACTAAACTCCTCCGCGCCGCATAGAAATGAAATTCAAAATTCAAACCTCCCACGTGGTGCTACAGTACTCGACAGGACGGCTGGGCAGGCGGCCAATCAAATCCATCCGTCAGACGTCGTTGACTTGCCGGTCACCGTCGCCGGTAGAGCTCCGGCCGAAGACTAGCAGCCCAGAAAAACCGTCATGCACACAATGACACCGTAGACCCCTCCCCCCGCCAGGTTCCGGCATCCATCCCGGCGGTTATGGTGGGAGAACAAAGAAACCAAGCCGGAAAGTAACCAAGCCAAACCGGTGCTCCCCCCTCCACCACCCACCCCCGAAGGACCCCGGCGACCCCCAACGGCATAGGTAGGCGGGAGAGGCGGGCGTTTTGACAGTAGCCGGAAATGAGTAGCACCAGGCGTTTCCGACCCCAGCAAGCCGGTAGTCTTCTCCGGTGAAGTCCTGGTAGCTTTCCAAAAGAAACCTGCCTGAAAATTTCCAAAACACCAGAAAATACGAAACATAGGAGACCCTGTACTCGCACCAGTCCCCCCAATCGTCTTCTCCGGCTAAAATACACTCCAATGCCTGCGATGAAAACCACCAAGCCCAGACCCACCTTCAGACCACCAATCCCTAGCAAATCTGAACCCGTTCACCATCCTACCACCCCCCTCAAGATGAAGCCATGGTTACTAACCGTTTATCAGCCGGAGGAGGCAGTATCCAGTGGGGTTTGACTTCCGGCCACCGAGGACTTAGCCAGAAACCCCGCAGCAGGGCAATAAAGCAGGTATGGCTGGAAGAAACAAGATGCAGAAAACCAGATTGTAGAAGAACCGAAACTAGCACAGAAATGCAAGGCTAACCTGGTTGACTAAACCCGAAACGGAGTTCAGGTTCATTGGAGGTAAACCGCCGGAACTTCGCTCTTTCTCAAGCAGCAGAGATTGAAACGGACCTCCAAGCTGCCGGGCCCCTATTCATCTTGGCAAGCCCCCCATTTCCTCAGAATACCAAGGACCCACAACCGACCGGCGCCATGTCAAAGTGACCAAGAGGCTGCTTTCGCCGGTGAGTTTTCACTCCGGTTGCGACAGAAGGAGGCGCGGCCCCTCCAAAGCATAAACCAGTAGCAGCACCACCGGACCCAGGTCGGCCAGTACAAAAACCACGCCAGTAATGCTTCAACCCACCAAACCAGCTCCGTGACCTCCATAACTTCCGGCCAAGGAATGTCTTCTATTCTTAATGATAGCGTATATCTAGAGAGAAGTGAGAGCTAAAGAGAGAAGTGCAATAATATGCTTCAATAGAATGATTTTGTAACCCCTATAACTACTCCCAAGGGGAGTATTTATAGAGAAAATACGGGCTGGGCTCCCAAGCCTTGGGCTTGGGAGGCCCATTTACAACTGGACCGCTACTGGGCCGAATACAAAGCCACTAATGGGCTGTACAAATGAGTAAGTGTAAATTCCGGTTCTGTGAGGTCTTCGTGGCCGACGAGGGCGTGGCCGACGAGGGCACGACCGACGAGGGTCCCTTGGCCGACGAGGGCACCCGGGTTCCTTGGCTTCAGGACCATATTCCGAGTTGGTACCTTTTAGGCCGACGGGGGTCCCTTGGCCGACGAGGGCACCACTCAATGTCTTGTGCTTGTTGTTCTTCTGAGTATGTGGGTCCTGGGGATCAGACCCATATACTCCATCAGGAGTCCCCCACTCTCTAAGCTAAGACGTAGACGAAGTGAAGGAGAGTAGATTCCCGTGCTTTGGTGCTTTTAATCGATGCGGGCACTCCCAGGCCGTTAGCTGTTGCGGCGTTGGCGTTGTTTCCTTGGTGTGTTCGTTTGGGGACGATGAGTGTCCTACTTCGATGGTGGCCGTTGAAGACGCGTTTTCTCTTTCTTGGACGTTGATGGTTGAGATTTATGTTTGGGCCTATGAGGCCGTTGAGGTTGAACCTTGCTTCGAGGACGATGGGCGTCCTTTCCTTTGGGTGGCCGGTGAGGGTGCTTGTGCACTCCTTTTGGCCGTCGCTGGTTGGCTTTCGTGTTGCTGGCCGAAGAGCCCATCATGGTTAACTGTTGGCGGAGGACGATGAATGTCATGGCCTTAGCTTGCCTGTTGGCCGTTGCTGATGATGTTATGTGCCTTTGGCCGACGAGGCGCCGTGCTGTCCAAAGTGCCTGGCCGGAGATGGAGTCACGAAAACCTTGGCGCCGTTGTGATACATGGACGGTGTGGCCATGCTTTGTGGTTACATTTGTGTTTGCATTTTTCCTTTGTCTGTATTATTGAGGCCGATGTAGTCCCCCAGTCCCCCACTGCTTCAGGCCGAATAGTGTGAGGAGTGAAGGAGATGTTTAAGTCCCTGGCCGAAGCGGCCTCTTCGTAGTGCCCCTGAATCCAACCCTTATGGCGATTTTCTGGCCAAGGTAACCCTGTGGGAGAACCCTTGTGCGCAGATCGCTTGTAAAGAATTATCATCAGGGGTCGTTACGAAGGCCGATGGATGCGGGTTCTTTGTTCCTTTGGTTCTGTGGCCGTTACGGGCGTTCATGACGTTCCTAGCCGTTGTCATCTCCTTATCGCTGTGGAGGCATTGGGTGCCTTGGCCGTTGCGGGCGCTTTGCTGGCATTGTGAAGCCGGCAAGCGTATAGGCCGTTGTGGGCGTTCGTTGTCCGTGTGATCCGTAGGGTTTTGCTCCGCCGGTAGGTTAGTTCTCGAGACCGGCCCATTTCCGAAGGGGTGGCACCTCATCGGCTGCTGGGAAGGTGACCGCTGAGGTGGCCATTGATATAGTGCCACGTGTAGTGACTGTTGGAGAGTGTCTATAAATACCCCCCTCCTCCGAAGCGGTTCCTCACTTGCATTCTTGAGATATCGAAGTGCTGCCCAAATTCCTAGAGAGAGAGAGTCTTCAAGGTGTTCTTCGAGTTCTTCATATCTTCAAGGTTAGTTCTTGAGTTGTTCTTCAATTCCTTTGCATACTTTGCTTCCTTGAGCCTTGATCTAGTGTTAGTGGCCAAAACGCCTTAGATCCTAAGTAATTCCCCTTAGGCTCGTAATAGTTGTTATGATGAAGAGCTTAGACGAGGAGTACTATCCGTACGACGACCAGCCCTCCACTAGGTCCCTCGACTATGAGGTGCTTGAGGAGTTCGAGGAAGAGATAGAGCGTTTAAGTCCTTACAAGTCCGGAGAGCCGGTGGACGACGAAGGTGAGGACGAGGAGTCCGCCTCGTCTTCAAAAGGTGAGGACGCAGGTGTGTCCCGAGTGGTGGACGGGGCGTCCACTTCCGCTGCTATTCCGTGTCTGAAACCGGTGTCTGCCGTGAAGGGAGCAGAGAGGCCGAAGAGAATAAGGAGGTCGAAGAGTGGGCCATGCGTCTCCTACCTGGATCTCACAAACATTTACCTGATCAAGCCGGAGAGCAGCGCGGCTGATTACTTAGTTGCCCAGATGTACGTGGGGCCGTTCAGGAGGGTTAGGGCACCCAGGCCGACGGACCATGTACTCAATCCGCCACCGGGGTACTTCGGAGTATACCCGATGAGTTTCGCCAAGGGGCTGAGGTTTCCCCTTCATCCCTTCATCACTGAATATTTGGACATGGTGGGACTTCCTCCGGCCTTGCTGACCCCGAACAGCTACTCGTTGATGGTGGGATTCTTGCTCCGCTGTGAGGAGTTGGGCTACAGGCCGACGACAGCGCTCTTCATGAACCTTTATCAGATTGGCCGAGGAAGCCACAAGAACTATGCGGCCTACGCTACTCTCCAACAGTTGCCGAAGAAGAGGAGCTTCACGGACATGCCTTCGTCCATCCATGGTTGGAAGAGCAAGTTCGTTTTCGTGTCCCTTGGTGAGAACGGCACTGAATTTCCCTCTCTCGGCCATACTAGGACGCTCTTGGACGCTCAGGTGGAGGCGTTAAAGACTACATCACCGAGTATAAGATGACCGCCCTCGGCTTCTTTAGGTACTATGTGTATGGTGACAAGGAGGACGATGTCCAACTGTGGCCGAGGATGACCACTACATTTGAGGAGACCGACGGCCCAGATTTGGGCATTCCTGCTGAGGCCGATGGTAATACTTCCTCCGGCTTTCCTCCTTTGTTTTTGTTTCTTCATTTTGCTAACCTGTTGATTTTCCTTTGTGTAGACTTTGTGATGGATCGCCGTTCGATCATGGCCATAGCCAAGGACAAGGCGGCCGAGGAGCTGGCTGCGAAGGCGGCCGAGGCGGCGAGGCGTGTCGCGGCCAAGGGAGGCGGGGCTGCTGCTGGTGCGGGTCCGAAGCCTGCTCAGTCAAAGAAGAAACGGCCTCCCACTGACGGCCAGAAGAAGCTGACCGAGGCTGGTCTTAATCTCGCCAAGAAGACGAAGAGGGCGCCGTCTCCTTCCCTTGCCGATGAGGTCGGCGTCCTGACCGTCCCGAACGTGGACGATGGTGGTTCTGGCTCCGCTGCCGCCGTTGTGGATCTTACCGTTGCTCCTTCCAGCGCCGTTGCTCAGCCGCTCCCTCTCAGCCAGGAGACTCGGATGAAGCGGGCTGGCAAGGAGATTGCCACTGCCACTTACCAGAAAGTGGTGGAGTACCCCGTTGGCGGGGGTGTCTTTGACGATGGCGTTGACGGCCATGATGTGCTTGCCCAAGCCATGCCGGCCAAGGATCGGGCCTACCTCAAGAGGCTCGGGGACGTCAAGGTCTATGAAGGCGGGATGGACCTCATCGTCCAATTAAGTTCCTTTCCCTTTTATTTGTTGTTTTCCTTGTCGTCTGTGTGAAGTCATTGCCTGAGTCTTTGTTTGCCTTTGTTTTGCAGGGTGCCTTCATGCTCATGGAGAGCCACAAAAGGCAGCAACGGGAGATTGCTCGTCTGAAGGAGCTCGAGCAAAAGGCTGCCTCGGCCGATGAGGTGATGGCCTGCTTGGATAGGCTCCGAGAGGATGCCAAGGCTCTGCAGAAGAGAGCCGATGAGGCTGCTGCAGCGAGGGACGATGCCCTAGCCAAGCTCGCGGAGAGCCAGAGAGCGCTTGAGGTTGAGCGGCGCAAGAATGATGAAGCCGTGAAGGCTAAGATTGAGGCCGAGGCTGCCGCTGTGAAGGCCGCTGACGAGGCCGTTCAAAAGTTCCTGGCCGAGGGATGGAAGGCCGACGAGCGGCTCCCCTGGTGCTATGAAGTGGTGGCCGCCAAGCTCGAAGATTGGGGAATGAACTCCCCCGCCGGCCAGGAGTACTTTGGAAGGGAGATGTCCGTGTATTACAACATGGGCCAACAACGGATGCAGAGGCTCCTGTGCCGGCGGCTGGCGCGTGCCCTTAAAGCAATGAACTATACCTCTGGGTGGGTGAGGCGGAACCTGAGGCTTCCCAAGCTGATGAAGGATCCCGAGGAGCAGGCCAAGCTTCCTCTTTCGGAAAGGGAGGCCCCAATCGATAGTTCCGGCCTCGGCGAGCCGGACTATGATGAATTTGATTTCTTGGATGATGCCACAAGCTCTGCAGCTGCCGCCGGCCAGGAGACTGAGGCCGAGGAGGAAGCCGAAGATGCCGGAGATCAAACCCAGGCTGGGCATGATGGAGGCGCCCAAGAGACTTGATCGGCTACTCCCCATTCCCTATCTTGTAATCAGTTACCTTTTATTTCTGCCCATGTGATGTAATGGCCGAAGCGCCCACCAATGTACTTAAACTGTTGATGAATGAACGTTTTGCTGTCCTGCTCGGCTTTGAATGTCTTGTATGTTTATTCCCTTTTGCTATTTCAATTTTGAAATTTGTCTATGTGTTAAGTGACAACTTAGGTCACCCGCGAGTGTTTGATACGTCCGTGAGATAGTCCATTTAGTCTGGTGGCCTTGTCGGCCTGTCCGGTGTTTCTTTGCTGTCGTAACACTTGGGATTTATCCATAAATTTCCTAAGTGTTTTAGATCCACTTAGGTGCTTTCTTTTCGTCCTGACCGAGGCGGGCAAACTGGGGTGTCCGCTGCGTTTTGGCATTGTCTCATTCCTCTTGTTGTTAGAATTTTTCTAAGTGTTCAACTTCAAGTAGATGGGTGTTCTCATCGTCCTGGCGTTGAGCCTCTCCTCACTGTTGATAAATGCTTTGGGAAATCCCCTAAGTGTTGAACCGATGTTGTTGTTGTCGGCCCGGTGTTCTTCGTGGCCGTTGTGCTCCCTTGTTCCTGATCTGATCAGGGAGGTCGGCCTGGATCCTTGTGTTGTGGCCGATAAGGGTACACAGGTTGTTGTTCCCTTCGGCCTGGTATGTCTTCGTTTCTTGCCTTGGGTCATTTGAACTTAGTTCTTTGAACATAGAAATTTTTCTAAGTACAAATGCAAGACATAGGTAGCTAACGGCCTGCGAGTATTCAGGTGCCCGCTTCGTCTAGAGTTTCTCCGTTTAAATACTTAGAAATTTTTCTAAGTATAAATGCAAGACTTAGTTCCTTCTGTGTGGTACCGTTGTCGGCCAAGAGACGGCCCTACCTTCAACGACCAAGGTCTGGCTTTGTGGCCGATGAGGGTGCATTTTGCTTTCCTCAAGAGTTTCTCTAAGTGTCGGAATTCTCTTAAGGAACCTTTTTCCTAAGGAATTTTCTCTAAGTGTTTGGTAAACACTTGGACAAATATCCCCAAAGATCTTCCGCTTGGCCAACAGCCTGGGTTTTAGTGCCTGTAACGGCCATCCGGAATGCTGTGGCCGGTAGGGATTGCTGCTTGAATGCTTAATTCTTCCGCGGGTGTGATACTGCCCGCTTCGTCCTGGTCATCCACAGGATTGATACTGCCCGCTTCGTCTTGGTCATCTTCAGGATTGTAATTCTTTATTTCATACTAAGTGTTGGTGCTTCAAAGAGCTGTGGCCGATGAAGGTTACCACTCGCGTGTCACCCAACCACTGGTTAGGATTTTATAGGCGTATGCTTCGTCCTTGACGATTCCCTTGTCTGTGATGGACGTGTGGCCATATCGTCCATGTCACCTGTTAGTGGTACTACATTTGTGTTCAACTGATATGTACTTAGCCAAGTTTGGCCTGAGTTGTGGGGATTTTATTTTGGCATTGCTCGTGGCCGGCAAGTGCGCGCGGTCCTCAGCTTCCCTCTGTTTTTTTCGTTTCTGTTTCCTATTTCGGGGAGTATCCTTCTTTCAGGCTTCGGCCGATGGGTGTGCTCGTCCTTCGGCCGGTTCGGACTTCGTTTATAACGTCCGTGATCTCAGGGGGGTCCTGTCGCCTATTTATGACGCGGGCTAGACTTTTGGTTGGTTTCCAACGGCTGTCGTTGCCCATCCCTGAGTTTTGGGATTTTGTCACCTCGGCCATGATTCCAGGCCTGTCGTCCTGCGATCCGGCGCGTGGACGACGCGGTGAGCTTCCCGTTTCAAGACGTGGGCCGTTTGCGGGCCCCTCGTCCTGGGGACATCGTCGGCCATACCTGAGCGTTTCACTTCTAGGCTTACGGGGCCAGGACGATGTGCTCTCTCAGCTAGGCCTGAGCCCTTCGCTGATACAAAATACAATAGAGTGCCTGAGCTTGTCACTCGTAGGCTGCAAATGCAAGGTGCCATGTCGGCCATACCTGAGTCTTTCACTCTAAGGTGGCCGATGAGGGCACCTGCTAATGTTTTACTTTAAATTCCAAAGAAAAAATCAAGAGGAACATGATTTTATTCATAAGTGGCTCGAGATCGAGGGTGGCGTTCAATCAGTAACCCGTTAAGGGGTGAGGGCTTCGCCGTCTGCACCTCCTTCGGATTACTGATAAAACTTCACCAGATGGTGTACATTCCACGTTCGTGGTACATTGGACCCATTCGGGCGTTTAAGCTTGTAGGTGCCGGGTTTGACCACGGCACTGACGATGTAGGGCCCTTCGTACTTCAATGCTAGCTTGCCACCCTCTGTCGGCTGGCTTGCTTCCCTTCGGCGGAGGACGTAGTCCCCCACTTGAAATTCCCGGGAACGTACCCTGGCGTCATAGTATGATTTTACTTGACGCCGGTAGTTCTCTGCTCGGACGTAAGCTTGCTCACGCCTCTCGTCGACAAGGTGCAGGTCAATCTTCATGTTTTCTTCGTTGGCGTCAGGCTCGTATTGTTCCACCCGTCGACTGGGGATGGCAACTTCTGTGGGTGCCTTTGCCTCAAAGTCGTAGCACAAGGCGAAAGGCGTTTCACCTGTCGCCCTCCTCGGCGTAGTTCTGTAGCACCACAGGATGTTGGGGAGCTCGTCGACCCAACTACCTCCTGCGGCCGGGAGTTTCTTCTTCAGCCCCTCCATGATTATCCTGTTGGCGTTCTCGACCTGCCCGTTGCCCTGAGGGTAGGCGACGGAGGAGAAACGATGTTTCACCCCAAACTCCCGGAGGAGCTCCTGAAAAGGGGCTGCCTCGAATTGGGTGTCGTTGTCTGATATAATCTCCTGGGGGACGCCGAAGCTTGTGATGATGTTTTTGTAAACAAATTTTTGGCACCTGGCCCCCGTGATGCTGGCCAGGGGTGTAACACCCCGGCCCCGTAGGCCCCGAGGTAGTTACTTCTGACCTCTAGTACTGTCCTCACAAACCGCCACTAGCCTTTTCCGCGCACTTTGTCCTCACTCGTGCGCGCCCTGTGAAACTTCCCAGGGGGTCACCCATCCCAAGACTACTCCCGTGCAAGCACACTTAACTTTGGAGTTCTTGGTTAATGAGCTCCCTTAAAAGGAGATGCACCTTGTTGGTATGAGTAGTACTATCAATCCCTTTAAATTAAATCTCAAGTATTACAATCACCTCCACTTAGGAACGCAACGTCCTCGTTGCGCCCAAACACCAATCTCAATCATATCCCAGAATCTTTTCCCCTGCTAAGTGCCCGCCCGATATCCAACGGATCAACACATCGTCGCAACCTGGCTCTGATTCCATTTGTAACACCCCGGCCTCGCAGGACCCGAGGTAGCTACTCTAGACCAATAATACTGTCCTCACAAACCACCACGAGCCTTTACCGTGCACTTTGTCCTCACTCATGCGCGCCCTGAGAAACTTCCCAGGGGGTCACCCATCCCAAGACTACTCTCGTGCAAGCACGCTTAACTTTGGAGTTCTTGGGTGATGAGCTCCCTTAAAAGGAGATGCACCTCTGTTGGTATGAGTAGTACTATTAATCCGTTTAAATTTAATCTCAAGTATTACAAGGGGTTCCGCCTCGACCCACTTGGTGAAGTAGTCGACGGCGACGATGATGTAGCGGTTGTTCCCGGCGGCTCTGGGCAGGGGGCCGACCAGGTCAATCCCCCATCTTGAGAACGGAATAGCAGTGCTGACGGGGGCGTAGTTGACGGCTGGCCGACCAGGGGCCTTCTGGAGTACCTGGCACGTGGTACACTTCCTGGCCAGGTCCGCACAGTCTCGCGCCATCGTCGGCCAGAAGAAGCCCTGGACGATGAGACGCCGGGACATGCTGAAAGGGCCCTGGTGCGAGGAGCAAACACCACAATGAACTTCTTCCATGGCCACGTCAGCCTCATCCTGGTGCAGGCATCGGAGGAGAGTGCCATTATAGGATCGTTTGTAGAGTTTGCCATCTTCAATGGTGTAGCTTGGGGCCCTGAGTTTGGCGAGTTTGGCCCTCTCCTCGTCCGGGGGAAGCTCCCCCGTCGTGATGAAGGTGATGATGTCGGAGATCCAGTCCTCCGGTCGCTGTCGGACGCACAAGACGGGGCTGTCATGGATGCTGGACATGCTCAACTCCTCGATCTTGGCTAGCTGGGAGATGTGCTCCGGGGTGTCCGAGCTGAGTTTGGAGAGGATGTCGGCCTCGGCGTTCTCGGCCCTTGGGATCTATGTGATCTCGTGGGTTTTGAACGCCTTCAGCAGCTCCTCTGCTGCTTGCTTGTACTGCTTCATCCGGCCTTCCTTTGCTTCGTACGTACCCTCAACCTGGCCCACTACCAGCTTCGATTCGCACCTGATTTTGACGTGTCGGGCTCTGAGGCCGGCGGCGAGTCTGAGGCCGCTGAGGAGGGCCTCATACTCGGCTTCATTGTTGGATACCCTGAAGTTGAAGCGGATGGCATAATAAGCTCTGAATCCTTCAGGGGATATGAGGACGACGACGCCACCGCACGATTTCGCGGCCGACGAGCCGTCAGTGAAGAGGAACCATGTGTCATCGGGCTCTGGCCCGGGTGCGGTGGCGGCTGTCTCCCTTTCCGTGCATTCGGTGACGAAGTCGGCCAAAGCTTGCCCTTTGATGGATGGCCTTGTCTTGATTTCAATCTGAAATTGACAGAGGAAGATCGCCCATTTCACCATCCTTGAGGAGCTAGTGGGGCTCCTCATGAGTGCGTCGAGGGGCTGCTGGGTCAGCATATGGACGACATGGGCCTGGAAGTAGTGCCCCAGCCTCTTCACCGTATGGACGATGGCCAGCACCGTCTTCTCAATGGGGGAGTACCTGAGCTCGGCCTCCCTGAGTGTCTTGCTGATGTAGAAGATGGCCTTCTGCACCCCTTCGTCCTCACGGATGAGCACGGAGCTGATGGCCGACGTGCTCACCCCTAAGTACAAGAAGAGGGTTTCGCCGGCTTTGGGCTTGGAGAGCACGGGTGGGGACGATAGGTACCTCTTCAGCTCTTCGAACGCTTCCTGGCACTCCGTCGTCCACTTGAAGCTGTTGGCTTTACGCATGATCTGGAAGAAGGGGAGTGCCCTTTCGGCTGACCTAGAGAG